TTATGGTAGGTAATTCTAAAAGAAATAAAGTGTTACTGTTTCTTATTTGTAGAAGGTTTAAGAGGAAAGACCACAACATATTGAACTAATTCATCATAATACCTGAAAACTATGACTTCACTTTTTTGAAAAATGAAATGGTCTTTACTTTTACTCCCGATCAAAAATCAAATATCTTTTCTTGAATTATGAATAACATGAATGGATTGAAATATTTAATTATCTCAAAATAAACCTTCATTTTGGTGCAATATTGAAATTAGCTTGAATTCTTCATAACCTCTGAATAGTGGTCTAGTTACTACTAAATGTCATGGTCTACCAGATGTGCTCTATACTAAAAACATGCTAAGAAAAGAAAGTTTGTAATACGGTAGAGGGATTTAACATGCATAGTAACAACATCTTTTTAAAAACATGCTATGCAACAGAAAGTCCTATTGTTGTTGAGTGATTGCAAGATGTTATTTAAAAGAAAGTTAATAAAATTATCTGAAGGATTAGAGAAATGAATTATTGTTGTAGGTGGGCCTTTTAAAAGTATAGTTTTGGTGTCCATTACAGATTGTTCCTGGTGATCCTCTGGACAAAAGTATAGTCATCAGACCGCTCGAACCTCAGCCTGCTCCACATCTTGCTCGAGAGTTCATGATTAAAACTCGTAGAAGAAAGGTAATTTTGTTTGGTTTTTGTTGATATTTTCTTATTAATACCAAATAGTGAAAATATTTTTAGTAATGAATTTATCACAATCTTTGTGTCATAGAAAAACATAAACAGTTGTTACTACCATAGATCTTCATTTTTCCAGGGTCTTAGTGAAGATGTTAGCATCAACAAATTCTTTGATGACCCTATGTTGCTGGAGTTAGCAAGACAAGATGTCATGTTAAACTATCCATTATGATGCTAAACTTGTCAAGAAAAGGAAAGCCCTGGATTTTTTAATCAGTATATTTTCCTGTAAGTTGTGCTTGTAATGTGGAATGTAAACCAGACGTAAGTTTATCTTTTGCTGTTTCCGTGTAAAAAAAAGAGTGGAACTGTATGAAGTTAATTTTGCACAACCCCACAGGTGGTACTGCCAGCACCAAGAAAGAATGAATGTTATCTGAAGACTTACAGTGTAATGTTTTGTTTCACTTTCTTTTTTGTACAATAAAGCTTTTTTTCAAACAAAACATTTAAAGATTTGCTGAAAAATCAATCAAGGTGCTCAATTAACTTTGAATACAAAGTTTAAAAGATTTGTGCTAAGAGTTCTTATACTTTAATATTAATTTTTCTTTACTTTCTTTGTATCATATCAAGCTTTTTATTTTTAAAAATCTGGAAACCTTTGTACATGAGGAACACTGAAAGTGAGTTAAGAGAAATTTTGTGCTATCTTCAGATATTCTCATCTGCTACAGTTTTTACGCCTGAACTCTTTACTTTTTCTAATTTTAAAGACTGTTTGAGCCCTTCTTACAGCCAAGGATTCACCCACAGGAATGAATGCATTTGACCTAATTTCTAGCTGTGACAAAAAAAAAGAAAGAAAAGAAAAATTGTCTAGATCTACCAGGACACAAAATCTATAGCTTATCATGAAATGCAATTAAAATGTGCAATGTCTAACTCTATACTACTAGGGAGGATAATCGGGATCAACTCATGTCTAAGTCTTGTCTATAAGGAAACCTGTAAAAGTTTAGCTCTACCAGGAAATATGTATTCAGGACAATGTAATATCTAACTGTACCAGGAAGTGTAATCAGAATGTGTAATGTCTAGCTCTACCAGAAAACATATTTAGGATGAAGCAATATCCAACTATATAAGGAAATGTAATCGGAATATTTAATGTTCAGCACAGCCAAGAAACACATATTCAGATTGATGCAGTATCTAACTGTATCAGAAAATGTAAGAATGTCTAGCCCTTCCAGGTAATATGATCATGATGTAAATAGAATGTATAACTCTGTCACGAAACATATAATCAGGATATGTCTTACTCTACTGGAATCTTCAGGGTAGAATATGTAATGTGTAGCCAAGCCAAGAAAACACTAATCAAAATGAGAAATTTCAAACCATACCATGAAACATAGTGATGTAATATCTAATTCACCCAGAAATCATGTAATCATGTGTAGTTCCACTGGGTAAAATGATAAAGAATGGATAATGTTTAGCTAGCCAGGAAATATGTAATGTCCTGCTTGGCCATGAAATGCAATCAGAACATGTAATGTATAGTTCAAGATTATGTATTGTCAAGCATAAACCAGGAAACATGTAATCAGAATGTTTAATGTCTCGATTTAACAGGAAATAAATAGAATGTGTAAAGTCTATCTCTACCAGGAAACATATAATTGTAATGTCTGCCACGAAATATAATCATGGTCTAATATCTAGTTCAGCAAGGAAGCATAATTGGGATGGTGTAGAGCTTAGCTCTACCAGAAATATAATGAGAATATGTAATATCTGTCTCAACCATGAAGCATTCAAGATGATATAATGTCTAGCCTATCGTGATGTCATGTCTCGCTCAGCCAGAAAACATAATCATAAGTGTGTAATATCTAGTTCTCCCAACAAACATATAGTTGGGATTATGCAATATCTAGCTGCATCAAGAAACATAATCAGGATGCAGCATTTGTCAAAATGTCTACCTCTATCAGGAAACATGTAATTTAGAGCTGTAGTTTATAGATCTACCAAGAAAAATCAGGATCAAAGAATGTATGTTGTCAAATCTGCCAGAAAACATAATCAGGATGATATGTCTAGTCAACCACAAAACATTACCAGAATGATGTAATGCCCAGGTCTACCAGGAAACATTTAAGTCTAACTGTGCCAAGAAACATTTAGAATTTAATGTCTAGTTCAGTCAGAAAACATGTAATAAGATTGTTTTATATCTCTTGCTGTACCAAAAAAAAAACAATCACGATGAACTAATACCTAGGTCAGCCAAGATCTGTAATGTCTAGATACCTAGGAGACATAATCATTATGATCTATGATCTAAAGTATATAAGAAAGGAAACGTAATTGAATCTATAATGTCTAGTTCTGCCAGAAAGCGTGATCAGAATGTGTAATATGTAACTCTACCAAGAATTAAAATCACAGTGATGTAATGGTTAGCCCTACCATGGAGCAGGTAATAATAATTTAGTATCAAGTGCTATCAAGAATCTTGTAATAACAGTGTGTAATGTCTAGCTATACTAACAAACCTCTACTTTCTAGCTCCAAGAGGAAACCTGTAATCATAATGTATTGTTTAGTTCAGCCTTGAAATGCAGTCAAAACTTATATTGTCTAGCATTACCAAGAAATATGATAAGGATGTGTAATATTTAGATGATGATGTAATGTCAAGTTCTACCAGAAAATATGTAACGTCTAACTGTATCACAAAATTTAATCAAGATGGTGGATGTCTAGGTAAGCCAGGAAACTTTTAATCAGGATGATGTAATATCTGGCTCAGCCAGAAAAAAATTAAACAGAATTTTTATTGGCTAGCTCTAACAGAAAACATGATCAGAATGGGTAACATCAAACTCTAACTATCTTGATTAGAATGATGATTTATCGGGATGATTTAATTTCTAACTCTACCATAAAACATGTAATCACAATACAAACTTTAGATGTTAAACACATACTGAATTTGTTATATCTAGTTGCAGCAAGAAATATGATGTGTAATATCTAGACTCACTAAGAAATAGAATGAGGATAATGTAATGTCTAGCTATACCAGGATAAATAATCATTATGATATAATATGATCAGGACAAAGTAAAGTCTAGCTGTACCAGGAAATTTGCAATCAAGATTTGTAATATTTTACCATTTTCAACAGAAAAAATGACTTTTTTATAAAGTTAAATGTAACTTAATACCTGATCCTATTTGACTGATTTCTGGCCTTAATCTGTGAATATGCAAGTTTTATTCATCATTGGCCCAAGCTAAAATCTTGAACTGATTACAAAGGATGTGTATGTAACATTCTCGTAGGACATGTTCAAATTTGCATGTTCTTTTGTACAACTGTTTTTTTTTTTTTCGATGGACTCAATAATCTTGCTTACTGCAGGGACAAATAAATTTATAAACTACATTTGATGATTTTAATGCAGGAATACAGCCCTAAAATCTTTCAAAGTACTTTTCTAATCTGATTTTTAACAATCAAAGACTATTTACCCAAGTTTGTCAAGATAACACAACGTTTTGGAACTTCTTAATTGTAAAAAGTTTCCTTCTTTATTTAAATAATAACAAATTTTCTGTAAATTACAAACCCATTTTTACACAATAATTCTTTGATGTTATTGAATTGTATGTAAAACTTCATAAGTGCTAGATATTTTATATGCATGATGCAACAAAATTTTAGTCAAAATTTTCTTTTAATATATTTGATATAGAGCTTGTAGAATTAAAGTAAAAACCAGAAAATGTTTTAATAGTATACTTCACCTTAGAAATGACAATATTATTAACCAAGGTTTGTGATGTTCCACTATAACTTTTATATGTCTACTATTCAAGTACTCAAGAAATTGAGTAGTTTAATCAGAGTTCTTAAAAGATAAATGTGTCATTCACATCATTGCAGACATTTTTCTAACCATTGTTTTTCATGATAACACATAGCAACACCATCAAGTTTATCATAGAGACTACCATTGAGCAGAAAAAGAGAAACCATGGT